AAGGGGCCTCAAAAATCATTGTTTTTGGGGCTTCCCTCGCAGTCCAGTGGTTAAGAATCCGTGCTTCCAATGCAGGGGACTCAGGTTCGATCCCTGGTCCGGGAACTAGGATCCCACAAGCCTTGTGGTGTGGCCAAAAAAACCCCACAAAAAAACATCACTTTTGTTTACAGAAAGGGAATCTGAGAGACAAGTGACTGCCCCCATAGGCTGACTGACATGCCTGGAGCTACAAACCCGCCTCCCAGGCAGAAGCCTCTTCTGCTCACAGGCAACAGGGCTGCAGGGTGACGTTCTGGTACCAGCATGGGCAGCTGGGCGCCCTTCTTCCTCTTTTTGTTGGTTAAGAGTGAACTGCGGCTCATACCAACCCTCCTCCCTCTGACTGGGCATTCACTGCCCCAGTTCCAAGGAAATGCTAACACTGGGCGAGTTCAACTTAGTCCATCTGTATGGACTGAACACATCAGACATCACCATCAGACTACCATACTGTTGAAAGTTTTATTTATTTGTATTTATCCACTTTGGGTGGATGCAAATTTCAAGATTTGGCTAAAACCTCATTCTTTGAAAAGTAATACATTATACAAGGAGTAAAGAGGTTAAGAGCACAGGTTCTGAAGACAAACTGCTCGTTCAAGCTTCAGTTTTGCCATTTACACCAGTCACCTAATTGTGCTCATTTCCCTTATGATATAAGGCGCATGTTAACACATGCCGGGCACAATTATTAAGTGCTCAATAAGTGCTGACATTATTAAGTTCAAACAGCACCACTGGTGAACTAGGTACAGATTTTAGAAATGGATACTGTCTATGCATTCTCATAGTTAGGTGGATGGTATGGTGAACGTTTTAGATCAAGAGGCCTTTGGGAGTGATTATGAGAATGGTGGAGGAATGGATGTCCCGCAGCACCCAAAAATAAATGTCAAAGGAGCCCATTTCATAATATAGCAACTTCCAGGCTCCCAGAGAAGTGAATTGGAGAGGGTGGGGTAAGGATGACAGCAGCCCCACCACTGCTGTGCATACTGACCTTGGGGGGATGCTTCCTTCTACCCTGTAGTGAGATACTCAAGGGGGCAGAAAAAGAAAGATCATCCTTTGATGCAGGAGATGAGGCTAAATCACCCGCTTGGGTCAATCGCACTAGGTAGTGCCCCAGTTCCAAGGAACTGCTAACAAGTGCTGTTCACACTTGTCCACTAACCAGGCAAACAACAGCACAGATCTCCCCATATGCTGTATGCTCAACTGAATGAAGCTGCAGTAAAGGACTTCTACTGAACGTTCTTTTGCTGCTTCAGATTAGACAATGTAAGAGGTAAGGGAGTACAACACATAAAAAACACCAGCATCAAACAAAACACCAGCTCTACACATTTCCTAAACTCTTAAATTCACATTACAAGAGCCAAGTATGAAAAAGGTATGGTAGGGAACAAACAATGGCATTTTTTCCCTCTTCCTCAACAGAAGCCACAACAGTTACTGATATTTATTCCCTTGTGAAATTCATTGTCTTATTTCATTATCCAAAGAGGAAGTTCTGTCCTTAAGGATACCTTAAACTATGTTATTACTTTGTGGCATTAGCAGCATCCTGGTACTGGGACAAAAAGACAAGCAGCTCCTTCCATGTACAAAGTTGTTGATCCATAAATAGCACAACAATAGGATCATTTCACTGTTACCAGGTATCCTGGGAGGGTCCCCACATGCCCTACCCAGTGGGCCCTGAGGTCAATATACTCACAGCTAAGCAGACTGTGGGCATTTCTAGGCAGGAAGGCATCAAAGTAGAAAAGAAGTTTCTAGCACTGGAAACTTCCTGCAGTTCACACGCAGTTCATATAAACTAAGTGTAGTTTTCCAAAGTTACATTTTGATAACTTCATCTGTTTCTAGATTGTTATTTTTCAGTACTGCTACAATTCTTAAACTCCGAAAAGCTGAGGAGTGGAAGAATGATCCTCATCTCTACAATCTGAGATTATAACCTTGCATTTGTTCAGCAGATAAGAGACTGAAGCTATTGGGTGCCAGGCTTTGCTCTCTTCCGTCTTTGAGAAGTCGGCCTGTTGACTTTATAAGAATAAGCCACAGCTGTAGAATTTACATTTGCCAAGTTTATTTAACATTTTCCTTTTTTAAATGGTGGCTTCATATCTGACTATCCAACTGCACAGGTATAAGTACATTTTTTTCTTCTACAGAGGTATAAATCCTTTAGAGTGGCGTAGGTATGAAATGTAAATTATTAGATATAGGTATGTAAAGGTAAATTATTCTACTTTCTTCTTTTAAAATTATTATTATTATTATTTTGGGGGGCTGCGTCAGGTCCTTGTTGCTGCGCGCAGGCTTTCTCTAGTTGCGGCGAACGGGGGCTACTCTTCACTGGCATGCACGAGCTTCTCACTGCGCTGGCTTCTCTTGTCGTGGAACACGGGCTCTAGGGCACATGGGCTTCAACAGTTGTGGCACGAGGGCTCAGTAGTTGTGACGCACGGGCTTAGTTGCTCCGCGGCATGTGGGATCTTCCCAGACCAGGGCTCGAACCCATGTCCCCTGCACTGGCAGGTGGATTCTTAACCACTGTGCCACCAGGGAAGTCCCTATTCTACTTTCATTAGAAATTTAACTTTAGTCCTCTTTCTATCACAGAGTGATTTTCATGAACCATAAACTATTCTAGAAAAAGCTATTTCTGGTCTTTTTGCTTTATTAATTGGTAAAACTTCCACAAAATTTTAATCAATAGCAAACCATATAACAAGTTTGTGTTTTTTTTTTTTTTTTCTTGCGTTATGCGGGCCTCTCACTGTTGTGGCCTCTCCCATTTGCGGAGCACAGGCTCCGGACGCGCAGGCTCAGCGGCCACGGCTCACGGGCCCAGCCGCTCCGCGGCATGTGGGATCCTCCCGAAACGGGGCACGAACCCGCGTCTCCTGCATCGGCAGGCGGACTCTCAAGCACTGTGCCACCAGGGAAGCCCCCAAGTTTGTGTTTTTAACATAACGTTATGACTTCAATTATTATTTGAGTGTTCTACTTTGGGTAAAGTTCCTAAAGGACAAGAAGAGAAAAAGTATAAGAAAACAGACTCTTTTTCTGCTTAAATCCACAAATGGCAGGCTCACAGTGGGCTGGAATAGAACCAGCAGGGGTCTTCAGAAACTCGAGAGTTTTAGATTGAGGCTGTGGAGATTTCTTCCACAGGCCACTTATCAGGAACCAAAATTCTGAGCTAAAGGAACTGCCGGGGGCCTTTCCTGGTGGTGCAGTGGTTGAGAATCTGCCTGCCAATGCAGGGTACACGGGTTCGAGCCCTGGTCCAGGAAGATCCTACATGCCACGGAGCAACTAAGCCCATGCAGCACAACTACTGAGCCGGTGCTCTACAGCCTGTGTGCTGCAACTACTGAGCCTGCATGCCACAACTACTGAGCCCACATACCACAACTACTGAAGCCTGCGCGGCTAGAGCCCGTGCTCCGCAACAAGAGAAGCCACCGCAGTGAGAAGCCCGCGCGCCACAATGAAGAGTAGCCCCCGCTCGCTGAAACTAGAGAAAGCCCGCGCACAGCAACGAAGACCCAATGCAGACACAAAAAGAAAGAGGAACTGCTGGGCTGGTCCAGTGCGGCATTTCTCATGTCCTTTCACCATCTGATTAAGCTACCAGTAAAGGCTAAGAGCATTCACACCTCACAAAATCCTTGAGTGAGATCTCTCATTCTCTGTGGTTCTCTCTGTGTCAGGTAGCACGACATCCCTTCTATACAGAGATGGCAGATGGCCAGGGCTGGACCACAAGCCACAACAGGGCTGTGCTAAGAGAATCTGTGCATAACATGGGGAAGGCAGAGGCTCCCTGCCACTCGTGGGCATCAGAAACACCCGTGTACCTTTCTAAACATTCCAGGGCTCGGACCCCTCTCCCTGCCTCTACAGGTGGGGCTGCAGGTAAGTGTGCCTAGCAAAGCTTCGCTGGCCTTCTGACGTGTGCCAGAGAGAACCAACTCCTGGTGTAGTTTCTGCCAGGACTTCACAGCTGGTATCTTGCACAGCTGGAGATGACTGATCAGTGATGCATTTTACAAGATCACTATTTTAAGAATTCTTTGGCCACCCTGAGTGAGCCCTGCCCAGGAAAAAAGGCACGCATAAAATGTTCGTTCCTTTCGTAACTAAAATTAGGATCTTAAATGGTCTCTTTACTTTTCGCACTTTACTTCTCTTTCTGTGGTAAAGCCAGGATGTCTTTTTTGAATTCTTTTTCTGGTTAGTTTGATTGAATGTTCTTCTACAAGGTTCTGCTACAATTAGCTCTGCTACTCATCTCTTGTTTTAAAGATAAAGAGGGGACTTCCCTGGTGGCACAGTGGTTAAGAATCCGCCTACCAATGCAGGGGACACGGGTTCGAGCCCTGGTCCGGGAAGATCCCACATGCCGCAGAGCAACTAAGCCCGTGTGCTACAACTACTGAAGCCTACGCTCTAGAGCCCGTGAGCCACAACTGCTGAAGCCCGCGCGCCTAGAGCCCGTGCTCCGCAACAAGAGAAGCCACCGCAATGAGAAGCCCGCGCACCGTGACGTAGAGTAGCCCCGGCTCGACGCAACTAGACAAAGCCCGCGCACAGCAACAAAGACCCAACACAGCCAAAGACAAATAAATAAATTTATTAAAAAAATAATAATAAAAAATAAAGATAAAGGGATTTGTATATTGAATGTTCTACAATTAGCTCTGCTACTAATCTCTTGTTTTAAAGATAAAGGGATTTGTATATTCCTAAAAAAAAAATTGAAATCATTCATTAGTAACTTCTGATAAAGATAAACCTGATTTTAAATTACTACTGATTTTTACCAACCTTTTAAACTTTAATTTATTAAAGAGGATCACAATTCCTTCCCCCATTTACTAACACCCACACTGTTTCAAATTCCCAAAAGGAAAGTCCACAATACCATGCTGGAGAATTTCTCATGTGTCAGCTTCTGCAGTTTTTCTCTGCAAAGGAGCCAGGATCACCCCAACATTCCTCTCCTCACTCTCAGAGTTATACAAACTATGCTTCTCAATATATTCCTGGACAAGGTCTGGTACCAAGTAGCGAATGCTCTGGCCCCTCCTGAGGGCTCGCCGGATCTTTGTGGATGAGATGTCATTGGTGATCCATTCATTCACCAGGTGAATGTTGTTCTGGTGTTTCCACAGCACATCGGATTCATAGATGAATTTCTGAGCATCATTTCCAGCCCGAGTAATACATATAAGCCCATAGTCTCCCACGATTTTGGCGATATCCTCACCCTTCCACAGATTGGGCACACCAAAGGACTCTAAGAGATCTGCTCCACACAGCAACTTCACCTTTGGCACTCCTGGGAAGAAGAAGAAAACAGCGCTTCAGGGTTTGCCTTTTTTTTTTTTTTTAAATATTTATTTATTTGGTTGTGTCAGGTCTTAGTTGTGGCAGGTGGGCTTCTTCGCTGCAGCTTGCAGCCTCCTTAGTTGTGGCATCCAAACTCTTAGTTGTGGCATGCATCTGGGATCTAGTTCCTGGATCAGGGATCAAACCCAGGCCCCCTGCATTAGGAGTGTGGAGTCTTAACCACTGCGCCACCAGGGAAGTCCCAGGGTTTGCCTTTTCAATAACGCCCTGCATCAAAATGAATGTGTATGTGTGTTCTTCTGGCTAGAGCGTTCATAGTTTCTATCAGATTCAGATTCTCTAAAAAGAGATGCAGGATCCCTCAAAAGTTAAGGTCGACCTCCTGCAGGATAAATAAGCTCAGGGTGCCTCTGACTCTCCCTTCCTTCCATCACAAAACTAACAAGGGGTGGGGAATTCCCTGGTGGCCTGGTGGTTAGGATTCCGGGCTTCCAATGCCATGGCCTGAGTTCAATCCCTGTTCGGGGAACTGAGATCCCGCAAGCTGTGCAGTGCAGCCAAAGAGGAAAAAAAAAAAGAAAAGAAAACTAACAAGGAGCATTTTCCAGGCACCCACATATACTGAATATGAAAGTAAAACACAAAGGGGGCTTGCTCAGCTCTAGAGTCTTATCAGCTATCATTGGTAAGTCCTGGCAAAACATACAGACCTTTCGTTTTTGTTTGCTCTAGTGATTTCTTTTGACTAAAATCTTGTCTTTGTTCAGCCCACTTCCTCTTCCGTCCAGGCCTTTCCAGTACAAGTGAGTCCTGCTGCTGATCACAGCTACTGGCCTCCAGCTTCTCTTGATGGTGTCTATAAAGCAACAAAGCAATAGAACATTTCTCTTTCTCACAACGCTCAACTGAAACGTCATCCCTCTGGAGATGCCTAAGAGCCTCTGATGCAATGTTAAAGGTTGGGAGCTGTTAAACACATTTAACCACAGGTACAATGCCCAACTACTCAGAATGGATGCCTTCGAATACATAGTACTGCTGGGTCAGAACGGATGCTGGCTAGGATATGGCATGGCAGCCCTGGGCTCTGGCTGTCAAGAATGGAAAGCAAGGCAAATCCTGGGAGCACAGCAAATGGTAGCTATTACTATTCTAAGCTGTATGTGTCTGTGTCATAAAAACAAGCGTTAACATTGATTACAGAAAGTAAGTTCCCTAAATACCAGTGAGATCCGTTCTGAGAGCACGTTCGTAAGTCCAACAAAGTTAGCTTAGGTACCCAACTAACACAATCGGCTATATAGTACTGTACTGTAATAGGTTTATAATACTTTTCACACAAATAATACATAAAAAACAAACAAGTATATACTGGACCCTGACAAGTAACGTTGGCAGCAGAAGCAGGAACAGTTTCCTGAACTCCAACTGCAGCTAAGGAGGCATGACCTTGAAACAAGCCACCACTTCTACTCTTCCAGCCCTTTCAACATTTCTGCATGAGCACCTAGAATCCCTTTCTGCTTAAAATGCTCAGAGTGGGGCTTCCCTCGTGGCGCAGTGGTTGAGAGTCCGCCTGCCGATGCAGGGGACACGGGTTCGTGCCCCGGTCCGGGAAGATCCCACATGCCGCGGAGCGGCTGGGCCCATGAGCCGTGGCCGCGGAGCCTGCGCGTCAGGAGCCTGTGCTCCGCAACGGGAGAGGCCACAACAGTGAGAGGCCGGCGTACCACAAAAAAAAAAAAAAAAAAAAAAAAAAAAAATGCTCAGAGTGGTTTCTATTTCCTATCGTAACCCTAACTGATATGGTTAGAACCAGAAGGTTCGAACTCTAAGAACAGACATTAGACAGGTTTTTCCAAAAGTCCTGGTGTTTTATACTCAAGAGAACATTGAGTAATCATTAGACGTTACACACTCTGGTCTCTGAACCCTTAAACTGGAGCTGTTTCAGCGTTCTGAGCACAGCGATTTGTGACAACCCCCATATGCTGTCAGCGAAGCAGCTCCCCAAACCAGCTCTCTCCGTGATCAAGCATCATGGCTTCTCTTCCTTAAATTACCTGCCTCTCTCTTTTATACTTAAGAAGACTGACCACAGTACATCATCATCTTACAACTTTACCTTTCTCACTTGGGGCACAGACAGGCCAGGTGTGCTTCCTCTACTCTTTAATAGGGATATACAGTTAACAAGTGTGCAAACATCTCAAAACATAGCGACAGCCATAAAGGCTGAGCACTACCGACGCCCTGTTACCGTGTGATAACCTTACACAGGAATGGCATGGCAAAGCTGAATGCACCATGGATACCTTAGCACCGTGGCAGTCTCTATCCAATCCTGTTGAAGACTTTCCCATGTATCAACTTCCAACCATTTTGAGTTCTTGGTGGCGAGTTCTGCCATGATAACTCGGTGATGGGCAGAGATGAGTCCTTTCTTCTTATATGCATCGCCAACGGGAGAAATTATGCCTTTGATAACTTCATATTTCCCTGGGTAAAGAATTAGATTTGATATGAGGTATTATAACAAATTACATTTTATGCACAGGAAATATCATCAATATGGTTTCATAATCAGAGATTTCCCCCCTCCTCCTTTTTTCACAGGGATCCAGGTTTATTTACTTTTAATTGTGGTAAAATATACATAAAATTTACCATTTAAGCTATTTTAAGTGTACAGTACTGTGACATGTACGACCATCACCACCGTCCATCTCCAGAACTCTTTCAACTTCCCCAAGTGAAATTTTTGTACCCATCAAACACTGACTCCCCATTCCTCAGCAGTTTAAATTTTGATTGATATTGCCAAACTGCCTTGTAAAAAGCCTTAATCTATTTGTATACGCAAGAGCCCATTCCTTCCCAACACCTGATATTTGACATTAACAAGTTTAAAAACTTGTGTCAATGTGATGGGCAGAATATATCTCATTTTTTATTTTAGTTCCCTGATTATTAGTGAGTTTGGACACCCATCCACCTATCAGCACACAGCATGATCACTTATGTAACAAAACAAAATAAATCTGTGTGTATGTAGGGGAGAAAAAGTTTTCCTCGACCCTCTTAGGGTCCCTGGCGGGGTGTGAAACTGACAGGAGAAAAGCATACAAATTTACTTAATGTAAGATTTATGTGACACAGGAGCCTTCATAAGGAAATGAAGACTCCAAGAAACAGTTAAATGTAAGTACAGTAAGTCCCCTACATATGAACCTTCGAGTTGCAAACTTTAAAAGATGCGAACGTGTGTTTGCATGTTCAATCACATAAGTGAGTTATCATGTCTGGCGTACACTGTCACGTGCACCGCGTCCTCTACAAGTGATGTGTTTTTGTGTACTCTACTGTACAGTACTGTAAGGGTACAGTAGTATAGTATCTTTATTTCTAGCTAGATTTGCAAGAGGACGACTTCACTGAACTCCTTGCTGTGCCACACAAGGAGCTTACTAATGAAGCTGTGATGGAATTGGAGGCCCAGAGAAAGGACAAAGAGAGAGGAGAGGAAGAAGTAACTGAAGAACTGAAGAGATTCACAACTCAGGAAATGGCAGGGGATTTTCTTTATTTGAGGCGGCACTGTTAGTTATTGAGGCATAGGACCTGAACATAGAACAGTACACGAAGGTTGCGGCACCCGTTCAGAATGCAATCCAGGGCTACCAAGTCATCTATGATGAGAAAAAAAGAGCTACTACCTAGATTGTTTTCTCAAGACGGTAGATGGAATTGAATCCAACAAGGAACCAAGGAACCAGAACCTGTGCCATCAACGTCAGGCGTGAGTGACATTGCAGCCTGCCCTCCGTCTCCTGTTGCTGACGATCCTTCAGCTCTACCATCTCCCACCTCCTCTCCCTCCTCCAGTCAGTAACTCTTCTTGCCTGTTCACTGGATGCCAGCCCCTGGATGCCAGCTGTTGTCCTGTACTACTGTACTTTTCAAGGTACCGTACTGTAAGATTAAAAATGTTTTATTTTTTGTGTTTGCTTGTTTTTTATGTATTATTTGTGTGAAAAGTATTATAAACTTATTACAGTACAGTACTATATAGCCAATTGTGCTAGTTGGGTACCTAGGCTAACTCTGTTGAACTTACAAACAAATTGGACTTATGAACTCACTCTTGGAACGGCACTTGTTCTATATAAGGGACTTACTGCATTTTTATGCTAGGTTAGATGAAGGGTAAACAGTCATGGCGAAATATGATAGGGCAAAGAGTACAAGGTAAGTGTAGAAAACTCAGGGGAATTTAGCAAAGAATGTTTGTTTGACTTCCCTTTGTCTTCAGAGATAAGGATGCTCCTTTTCTCCGGGTTTAGGGAGAGCATCTCTAACATGAACATTTTACGATCTGCTTCAGGGAAGAGGGGTGGAGGGAGGAGGTCAGAGTGACCTTCCTGCTTCTGCTGTTTTTATCAAAGTCCTTCCACTTAAAATATCCAATATGCCGAAGTGCTGTATTGTAGGGTAGCGCATCCTGAACCCCATCATTGCTTTTGGCTACTGTTCCTACCTGTTCCATTCATGTAGTCCTTGGCCAGCTCAAACAGCCTGAGGTGCATATTGGTGATAGGATTAAAGGAACCACAAGCAAGGAGAACCACTTCTGTCTTCTCTGAGTTTTCCATGCTGAGAATTTGAAGTTGTACATCTACATGGAAAACTCTGACACCTCTCTTATTGTCTACAAAGGAAAAAGAAAGTAAGTTCAGTTACAGGGCTTCTGATGTCTTTCCATGTTCTCATTCCAAATAGGTGGAATAAATAGTTAGCTTCAGTGACTATGCTGGGTGAATTGCAAAAATGGCCCCTTTTCTCCACCCATCCTTTTCAATGTGAATTTGCAGCTCTTACCATAAAGGGATGGAATCTCCTTCGCACCCTTTGTGACTTGCTTTGGCCCAAACAATGTGGCACATGGGAAAGTGTTCCCATTCTGAGCCTAGGCCTTCGAGGTGTTGTACACTCCCACTCTCTTTTGGACTCCTGCCCCTGACATGAAAACAAACCCAGGCTAGCCTGCTGGAGGATGACAGAACTTGCAGGAGAGAGCTGGTGCTCCGGCTGACAGACAGCTAACCGTCAGCTATGTGGCTGAGGCCATCCTAGACCATCCAAACCCCAGACAATCTGCTTAGATGCACGAGCAAGTCCAGGTGAGATTAGCTGAGCCTGGATCAGATCAGCGAACCCACAAGCTGAGCCTAGACTCGAGCAAAAATGAATGTTTGTTTTGCGACTGCACTATTGTGGCCGCGGTTAACAGATACAATGACATTATCATCCACCAAATATTACTCCCCAACAACCCGTCCTTCAAAACCGTATTTTGCCTCTTAGTCAACATGGTCATGTTATCACTTTCAACTGAATAACAGTTTACAACGGACAAACTCTTTTTCATGTCAGTTATTCCATTTGATCCTTCCATAACCCTAATGAAGTAATGCAAGGCAACTGATTTTAACTTTTTATTAAAAAATTTTTATTAGGGCTTCCCTGGTGGCGCAGTGGTTAAGAATCCGCCTGCCAATGCAGGTTCGAGCCCTGGTCTGGGAAGATCCCACATGCTGCGGAGCAACTAAGCCCATGCGCCAAAACTACTGAGTCTGCGCTCTAGAGCCCGCGAGCCACAACTACCGAACCTGTGTGCCGCAACTACTAAAGTCCACGCGCCTAGAGCCCACGAGCCACAACTACTGAGCCCGCATGCCGCAACTACTGAAACCCACGCGCCTAGAGCCCACCCTCTGCAAAAAGAGAAGCCACGACAATGAGGAGCCCGCGCACCGCAATGAAGAGTAGCCCCCGCTCACTGCAAATATAGAAAGCCCGTGGGCAGCAACGAAGACCCAACGCAGCCAAAAAATAAAATAAATTAAAAAAAATTTTTTTTAATTAAACGAATTCATGTATATAGATTTGAAATCATAGGGTGACAAAAGGCCCATAATGGAAGCAAGAGTCATTGGCCATATCTCACCCACGAACTCCTCCAACCAAATCCCCAAGAGGCGACCACTTTTAACTTTTTCAGCTATTTCTTCTGGCCGAATCTATCGTAATTCTATATTATGTGCTTATAATGTTATTTCTTAATTTATTCAAAGAGTGTCTATTTACTTTCCCTCATGATCGAAGAAAATTACCTCATACACCCCCATTACACTCAGGCTATATATTTGGGAAGTTTGGGAGAGAGTTGTGAGGGTGTATGAGAGCTAATCCTCATAGATTATGTATGGGGGGGAGAGATAGAAAGAATCTCTAGTCTGTGCTGAAAGTCACCTTCTCCCACAATTCTGAAGGCATTGCTTCTATACTGCAGTGCTAACAGTGAGGAATCCAAAGTCACTTCCAGTAATTCTGATCCTTTTAATGTGGCTTATATTATTTCTCCCTTGAAGCTTACGAGAACTCTGCCCCCAAATGTTCTGAAATTTTACAGTGATGTCCTCCAGTGTGGCTCTATTTTCATCTATTGTGCTGGGCCCTGAGCAGGCCCTTTCAATCTCAGAACTCATAACCTGCAATTCTATAAAATGTCCTTGAGTTATTTCATGGATGATTTTCTACCTTCCATTTTCTCTGCCCTCTTTGGAAATGCCTAAGAGTTAGAGCTGAAGCACCGGGACTGGTCTTCCAATTTTCTTACCCTTTCTCTTCTCTTTTCCATCTCTTACCTTCATACTCTAATTTCTAAATATCCTCAAATTCATCCTCCAATCCACCTATTGAGGTTTTCATTTCTGCTATTATACTCAGTTTTTTTTTTGGGGGGGGGCCACATCTCGAGGCTTTCAGTATCTTAGTTCCCCGACCAGGAATCGAACCTGGGCCCTCGGCAGTGAAAGTGCTGAGTCCTAACCACTGGACTGCCAGGGAATTCCCAATACTCAATGTTTTAGACTTTTGTCCTCTGAATGTTCCTTTTTATGGTATTCTGTTCTTGTTTCACCAATGCATTACGCTTATTTCTCTACCAATATTAATGATATATTTTATATTTCCTTCAAAGAGCTGATAGGAAGTTCTAAGTGGGTAGGTAGGGCTTCTGCACAGTGGGCTTCATTGTATGGTAACTTGGCTGTATTACAGGTCTTTCTCCTGGGACTGGTCAGCGTCCACAAAAAAAGTATCCTCCAACCTCCTGCCTATATAGCATAACAGTTACAAACCCCTGCTCTGAAATCAGGCTGTCCAGGTTCAAACCACAGCTCCAATACTTACATGAGCTGGATGACCCTGGGCAACCTAACCCTAGCCTAACCTTCCTTTTGCCCCAGTTTTTCTGTCTTAAAACAGAGAAAATAATATTACCTACCTCATGATTATTGTGAGAATTAAATGAGACAATACACATATGCTACATAAAGCTGCTTTGGGCAAGTAACGAACACACTATGAATATAGCAATTATTTATGTTGCATATCATGTTGCTGTAATTCAACTCCTTTTTAAAAATTATTTATTTATTTATTTATGGCTGCGTTGGGTCTTCATTGCTACACGTGGGCTTTCTCTAGTTGCAGCAAGCGGGGGCTACTCTTTGTTGCGGTGCACGGGCTTCTCATTGCAGTGGCTTCTCTTGTTGTGGAGCACAGATTCTAGGCGCAGAGGCTTTAGTAGTTGTGGCTCACGGGCTCTCGAGCACAGGCTCAGGAGTTGTGGCACACGGGTTTAGTTGCTCCGTGGCATATGGGATATTCCTGGACCAGGGATTGAACCCATGTCCCCTGCATTGGCAGGTGGATTCTTAACCACTGCGCCACCAGGAAAGTCCCTCAACTCTTTTCGATCTTCAAAAAAAATCTATTTCAAATGGTTCAATCAACTATTACCACTCTACTGAATCTGTTTTTTCATGGAGGCTTTTTTCCTGAAATTCTTTCTCTAATCTGGGCTGAAAATCTCTAACCCACTGTGCGTCTGTCATTCTGAAATATGACATTTCACCTCTCCTAAGGGAGATCCCCTATTTCTTAGAACCATGTCATTGTCTTTCTTGTTTTACTTCCTAATTTTTCTGGAGCATATCCTCAAATAGCTTCATAATAAAGGGAAAATGGGAGATAAAGTAAATGTCTTTATTCTTCCTTAACTGAGAGAATTCTAGGCTGGAATTTTCTTTTAAAATTATGAATGCATTCTTCATTGTTTTCTGGTACCGAACACTGCTGTTGAAAGTCTGGTGCTACTCTGATTCTTGTTCCTTTTCATGTAACCTGCTTTGTCTTTTTGGAAGATCTGAAGCATGTTCTTTTTATCCCAAATGCCATAATGATGCGTCATAGTGGGGTTTTTTTTCATTCATTGTGCTGGGACTCAGTGAAGCTGTCTATCTCCAACTCAAAGCACTCAGTTCTAATTATTTCTTTAATAAACACTCCCTATTAACTATCAATAAATAAAATACTTTCAGGAGTTCCCCGGATGCCAAATTGCTCAAAGTGTTTTGGGAACTTTTAGGGAATCACCTGTAGAGCCTGAAGTATTTTTATAATTAAAGTTGAAACATAACGAATGACAATAAAGAAACCAACATCTGGGAATTCCCTGGCGGTCCAGTGGTTAGGACTCTGAGCTCTCACTGCCGAGGGCATGGGTTCAATCCCTGGTCAGGGAACTATGATCCCACAAGCCTCATGGCGCGGCCAAAAAAAAAAAAGTAAACTAACATTTATATGATACTTTCTAACTTACAAACTACTTTTCATGCACATATAAGTTAATTCTCACCATAAAAGAACAAAAAATGGCCAAAGACATTTAGTTTGTTCCGAATAATAACCTATTGTTAGATATTTAGTTTTTCCAGTTAATCGTCTATCATTGGTCATTTAGATTTATCTAATTTTTCACTATTACAAACATCTTGAAGAAATAATAAGTTGAGAATGAGTTGGAAATTAAGGCTATAAAACTTCTCACTGCTTACCTGTAAGCCTTGCCAACACTCAGAAGACCTGTATCAGGACCATTTATTTGTAGCCCAATTGTGTTCAGACCCAATTGTTAGTTTGACCAACTTACTTTTGCTCAGATTTTATGCTCGCATGAGACAAAGTTAGTGAGTGGCAGAACCAGGGCTAGAATTTAGGTCTCCTGACTCCTAGGTTCTCTCTCACCAAAAAGAAAAATTCGAGATAAATTGGAGCTGTGTAGATTGGAAATGAGCCCTTCTGGCTGAGGCGTTGCGGAATGTGAACTTCAGTTCCTTAGACAACAGGAAACTTTGACGGTTTCTGAGCAATGGAGTGACAACAGGGTTCTAGAAAAACAATGCTCTAGAAAAATAAGGTGACATGAGTGTTTAAAATCCTTATATGGTTGTATGATCTTGACCTGATCACTTAATTCTGTGTCTTAAGTTTCCTCATCTGTAAAATAGAGATCATGATATGATACGGCAAAGTGCTTATGACAGTGCCTGATGCATTGTCAAACAGCTACCAAATAAATGGTAGCTGTTATTTGTGAGGAAAGTGATAATACTGATGATGGTGATGCTATTGGATTAATTGGAAGGGGCAAAATGATAGGAAGGCCAGTTACAAAGTAATGAAAGCTTCGATTTAAGTACAGTCAGTAGGAATGGAAATTAGGAAACATTTATTCAATAAATAC